ACACAGAAACACTAGAAAACTAAGGAAAATGAACACATCATGACACTCTGCTTTGTGGATTATACATTTTCTATCAGCAGATCAAACACAAACTGCTCAAACCACCTAGAGTTTGTGTTGATGATAAAGATTGACTCATGTAAATTCTCATCCTGCTCTGCTGCTGCCCACATTAAACTTCCAAATTATGTAGAGAGGAAGAAACTTATGCAAAGTCTTCTCAGAACTGTTGAGTCAGCTTTTTAATCTTCCAACAACCACGCCATGTGGAAACAGTTGATGGCAAGTTCTTCTGAGCTGCACCACTGTTACAAAAGTTACAAACAAACGAAGAAGTTGTTCAGTCACATCAGAAAAACTTTAATTTCTGTTTGAAAAGCTTTTGTTAGAGTTCACAGCCCAGCAACCAACTCTTAAATACAAATTTCTAACTCTATGAAGTCATGTCTTCTGTTAGTTTCTGTAGTGTAACCTGAGCCAATACATTTCCATACCTAATCCTAACAGGGACAGTGTGACTCCCTACTGTGGAGCTGAACCGTTCAGGATTTAATGGACAAGAAGGAATAGTTCTTTGTAAGACTGGTAGCCTGGTAATTTGTTAAAGTAATCTAGTCATCTGAAAAAGAAAGCATGAACAAAGATTTCAAATTTGAATTTTGAAAGAAAATCTGTGATTGTTATTCTAACAAAGTTGTGTCAGGTCCTTGGGACAAGTTCTTTGTTGAAACATTGTAACTTTTCTCCAAGAGACTTCTGAGGAGGTGCAGGTAAACTCAGACTTATAAGCAGTACTTTTACATAGCAGATCAACAAGTTTACTTGTAACACCCAAAACTGGTTGTTCACATGTAAAAAAGGACCATCAGCCTAAGGACAGAAAGTACCCTGATGTCTGCTCATCGTTCGAAGGGGGCTGAGTCAAACTCACGAAAAACGCTTTGGAAGAGGGGTACAACTGGACATGGAGGCCTCCACCCTTGTTTGTTGATGGGCGGTTTATCTTCAAAAAAGTGACCTTCTTTACTCTTCTTGATGAATGTACAGACTGTAGAGTTCAAGCCTGTAGGTGAGTGTAGACTGTAGAGTCCTAGCCTGTAGATGAGTGTAGACTGTAGAGTCCTAGCCTGTAGATGAGTGTAGACTGTAGAGTCCAAGCCTGTAGATGAGTGTAGACTGTAGAGTCCTAGCCTGTAGATTAGTGTAGACTGTAGAGTTCTAGCCTGTAGATGAGTGTAGACTGTAGAGTCCTAGCTGGTAGGTGAGTGTAGACTGTAGAGTTCAAGCCTGTAGGTGAGTGTAGACTGTAGAGTCCTAGCCTGTAGGTGAGTGTAGACTGTAGAGACATAGCCTGTAGATGAGTGTAGACTGTAGAGACATAGTCTGTAGATGAGTGTAGACTGTAGAGTCCTAGCCTGTAGATGAGTGTAGACTGTAGAGACATAGCCTGTAGATGAGTGTAGACTGTAGAGTCCTATCCTGTAGATGAGTGTAGACTGTAGGGTTCTAGCCTGTAGATGAGTGTAGACTGTAGAGTTCTAGCCTGTAGATGAGTGTAGACTGTAGAGTCCTAGCCTGTAGATGAGTGTAGACTGAGAGTCCTAGCCTGTAGGTGAGTGTAGACTGTAGAGTCCTAGCT